ATGTTCCAGAGCTGAGATTAATCATTTTATTAAGCAGTGCTGCTGATATACTGTTTGATGTCAATGCAATCTGACAATGTTTGGATTCATGTGTCATTAATCTTGGGGTTGTTTAAGCATAATTTATTCAATAAGTTACAATTGCTGGGCTTGCACAAGACTCTATATCTGATCAAATAAAAAAGAACATTATGATAAACATCAAAAAATAATCACAGTCTCTACAAAGTACAGCACCTTAAATTAGAATGACTGCTCTGACAATAAAACACCCTTATTGTTCAGAATCATTGATCACTGAAATCTTTAAGATGGCTACTGATAATGTTAGGTTCCATATATAGAGGTTTTGGAGACAGTCGTCAATCCGCTCTCTCTCTCTCAAAATAAAATAAAGGAGACAAAGAAGGCAAAAAATGTCAGCAAATTGTAAGGTTTTTCATCCATAAAAAGATGAATAAATAATAATCATCTGACCTTAGAATCTGCATTCAATAGCAGGCCCTATGCTGTCAGTAATAAACTGAAAGTTTAATCTTCTATTTATTCTCCATTGCTTTTATTCTTCTGTACTGCTTTCAACCAGAATCTATCTCTCAATTTATAAAAGAGTAATACATGAGTTCCTTTAGGAAATGGAGAAGAGAACGTCGGCATTCTGTTGAATAAGAACTTGGCACTTTTTTACTCACTATTAAAAATAAAGGAGCCAAGCCACACAGGGTAAAATCACAGCCTCACAGCCAACAACACACACATTCAATTCCTGACTTCATTTTCCTGAAATAGAAAAGTACATACATTTCTCAAATTTCCTACCAAGCCTTCACATACCCCTAGAACAGCAGGAAATGCAGAGTGCCAATGTTATGCTCAAGGCTGGGGAAGTTAGTCATAGAAAGTGAGAAAAAGTGAATTCTCTCATATCACTATATTTCATGTTTTCAAAGTAAAATTTATAACCACTATTCCCTCCCCGTGTCATTGAAAGGTCTTTGTTTAATAGTCTAGCTTAAGACAACTTTACTTTGTAAAATTAAAGACACTGTGCTTTGGATCAGTGAAACTCCTTAAATTCGGCATGACTTCATGGTTGGCTCAGAATTCTTTGTCACTGTGGCAGCCAGGCAGCCATTTACCCACTACAATTTCTGCCTCCATCTCCATCATCTCCTCTTTTCAGTGCTGAGCTAGTTCATTTGGTTTTCTAAAGTGGAAAGAACGTATGTTTATCAGTCAAGAACTGAAGCACATTCTTTTTAAAAAAGCAAATTTATAAATTGTATCAGATTACAGATATTAGATCTTAAGGGGCACCAGGTCCAAATGCTTCGCCTGAGATAGAACACTGAAATGCTACTTCAGCTGATTATATAGGAATTAAACACTGCAAAGGAAAAAAAAATAGAAAGAAACAGAAAAAATCAGAAAATAACTTAGAAAGTGTCTAAAGAGCTTCCTCTTTTTATGTATGCTAAAGGACACTGTACCACAATGATGATTTGTAGGTTCATGCAGGGTTCCCCAACTTTGGCCACTTTAAAACAAATGGACTTCAATTCCCAGAAGCCCATGTGTCTCAAAGCAGTCAGAGTTGGGAACCCTGAATTAGTGGTATGATTCTTTAGCAAGTGGCAGTAAAACAAAATATTGCATTTTTTAAGTTATATATAAAAAATAAGTAACTGTTTTACAGTTTGTATGTAAGATTCAGAAGCTTAATCTTAAAACGTCTGTTTAACTCAAAATAACATTTCTTTTGTTATAGACTTACCACTTTGTGAAAAGCTGTTGAGTTTGGGATGATAAACGGACTCTGTGTATGGTTAAAAAGCTTTCCTACATCTATCTACACTGACCAAGAGTCAGAGAACAGGAGATAATGAGGACCTTTATAAAACTTGAGCAGTTTGGTCAAAGGGAACACAATAGTCCTCTGATTATCCCACAGATCAAAAGAATGCTCCAATGGCATTGTGAGCTTTAGAAAAATTGCAGGCAACACCTGCTGCTAAGGCAGATATGTTTCAGCGACAACTTTGGGAAGAAAGGTTATAGCTGGTCACAAGATCATCTTATCCCTATGAAATGAAATTTATAGCTCAGTCCAATCCAGGGTGCAAATTTCATTGGGATATCATGTTGACAGAATGACAGCTAAGAATGTTAACTTCCAAATAAAAGAGTGAAGTGAGGAGATAGCTACAGTTTCAAAAAGTACACATAGAGATTATTATTATTTGTACAAACATAAAAAATATGTTTATATTTAACCATTTATATATTGAAAATATTAAGAATTACATTTTATTTAAGGTTGAAGAAGGACAATATAAACAGGAGAAGGGAAGATCAAAGAAATATATTATTAATTAATATACTAATTATGGAATTATCAAACTTAATCATTACTGATTGTTAATTGATTATTATTGTCTTTTTTTTCTTTTATTAAAACATAAACCAAGACAACACGCTGTACACTAGGCACTGGAGATTGTTTATATATATATATATATATATATATATATATATATATATATATATATATATATATATATAAAAGTTTGCCCATTATCTCAGAGAAAACTAGAAGCAAATTCAATACAAATTTGATGTTCTTGAAGGGGAAACATTCAAAAGTCTTTTTCCCAAACTGCATATGAATGAGGAAGAAAAAAACATTTGCCCAGATTTGTTGCTATTTAAAGGGGGGGGGGAGACAAGTTTCTTTGATTATAAAGACAAAAAATCCAAATATAACAGGGAAAAAATTTCAATGAAAACTACGAGACAAATCTCAGCCGTTTTATAGAACAGCTGCTTGCACAGCAGGTTTGCATGCCATACATAGAATCTGAGCCATTGTGTTGAAAGAAGCACCTGAAAAACATCCTCTCCAAGCTATCAATCTGAAGATTGTCTACTCCAGGTGAAGAATTGTGCCACTGTGAACTGACAGGCAAATGGAAAATGGAAATGAAAATGGACAAATGGAAGAGAAAAAGTCTCCAAGATAGATGAAAGGAGCAAACTGCATTAGGAGATACTTATTGATATCATCACGGATAGTATTGGCTACAACTTGAAAAATGGAGAATACTAAAATACTAAAATATTAATTTTAAAAAATCCCCTTGAGACCAGAGGAATCAGAAGACAAAGACCAGGACAAGAGCTTTACTGCTGCAAAATTTGAGTAATGAATAGGATTGACTCAGTGCAAATGAGAAGAGGAAAACAAATGAGTGTAGTTTTCGCATGAGTCGCTTAAGAGTCCATAAAGACACTGCAATGTTGAGATGAACCAATACTCAGAAAATCATTGTATGAAATGCACCAGTTCCATTTGATGATATTAAGTTATAAACTAGAAAATCAACTGGAACCATCCTGCTTATTCCAGGTTCACACTGCTGTGAAATTGCCAATAAGTTCATGAATCATGGTGATGGTGATGGGGGAGGGAGGAGGGTTTGAAGGGCTTCATGCTGTAGATTTTTAATGCTATAAACTGGGCAACTACATACATTTATTAAATAAACAAGCAAACAAACAAATAAATAAACCATATGTTCTGCAACCAGAAATGAAAACTTACAGTGCCTTAAAAAAAGCTACCATTTTGTTTTAATCGCCTTTGTCTCTACCACAGAGCAACATCGAAGTATCACAAGCGGGAGAGCACAAATTCTTACCATTGAATCTGACTATTCATTTCCCAGCCGCTTAAAAAGATTAATCAGGCAGGGGGGCAGTGACCACATTGGGATACAGTCCCAGCGAAACAGAGGGAAAGAATGCAGCCCTCTCTCAGCCCTCTCTGCTGTGCAAAGCAGCCTAAGCCTTCCTCTTTCAAAAACCAGTTTACATAAAAGTTAATTATTTCGGCATCTCCTTTTACAATTCCTGTTCTATTTTACCCCTCTCCCCCCCCCCACTCCACACACCCCTAAAGAATACACAGTTAGTATAAAAATATAGATGATCAGAAATCTTTCCCCAAAACTCCTAGGAAGAATCCAGCTGGAGACAGAATAGCGTTGAATTACAGAATATAACAATGTCCAGGCCTGGATCTTCCAAGAGGGTGGGCAGAAATTCTTCAAAGGGTGGAACATTTCAAAATTAGATTGCATGCAAGGCCTTACTTGCTTCAGTCCGGGAAAAATGGTCTCATGAGAGATGTGAAACTCAAACTTATGGCTACTATTAAATCTTTTACTCCATCAAAATTAAGGCCAGAATGTTCAATATCTGCTGCTCAGGTTAGCCTTGAGATTACATCCCCAATTTATTAACACTAGATTTATGATTTAATTTTAATAAAGGCCGGCAATACTAATGCCCAGTTTTATCAATGACTGTCTATTTTGGCCACAGCAAATTTACTGAAATTATCTTCATTCCAGATTTTGTTTCTCTTATTTACATAATATAAGAGATACAGAACAAACATCAACTTTTACAGATCAATATATGTACATACATTTTAAAGTATGACTGCTAGAATCTTGTTCCTAAAAAAAATGTGTTAAGTTTTATTTCAAGAATTAAGAGCCTGTAAATGCAAACTCTCAAAAGAAAAAAAAATAAAACATGCATTTGGCTTTCTCAAACCCTTCGATGTTCTCCCTCTAGTTCTAAAAGGGGGTGTAAAATCTGAATTTATTTTTACTTAAATTGGAAAGAGATGTTTTATCCCCTGTGGAATATAATGCCCTAGCTGTTGTCTCCAAGAAACTGGTACTGAATTGGTCAAATTCCAGAAATGGGAATGTGGAATTAGGGAACCAATATGTACAACAATTAATTAAGAATTGAAAATGCTCACAGGAACTATTTTGTTCAGGAATGCACAACAGCAAGATAGGTTCAAGATGTAATCTAAATCATATGCAGGTACATGTACATTGCGTACAGTCAAAATAAATGAAAGAAAAAGCTGGCTCAAGAAAAGAGATGAGGAAAAATAAAACATACCATAATATTTTGCATACCTTGCTGTGGCACCTGTTGCTTTCCATGATAAGAAATCCGGAAGATCAAAGAAGTGCCCTGCCTTTTCCCAGCAAGACTCTGGCAAATTCTGATAATTTTTGTTGGAGATAAAAAGGATAGTTTTAGCTCATATAATTTAAAAACAAATTTAAATCATATGCAGTAGCTAAGACAACACTGATGTTCCCTCCATCCAACTTTTAAGTTTCATCATTCTGTACAGAATGATAGAATTCTATGTAGAATTATTGGAGTTTTATTCATGTTTTGTCTTTCAGCAGAGCCATAGTCTTCCCAAGGATGTTATATATACTACATTTGCAACATCCAAACATTCATTACTAAACCTCTGCAGCATGTATTACCATTTCCTCTACATTTATATCCATGGATATATTTGTGTGCCCTTTCTATGTACTCCGAGAACCCTTCATCCTGTTCCCAAAGGAATTGGCTATTAGAATATAGTTCAAGCCATAACTCTCTAATTAGTAAGCAGGAAAAAAATACCAACTTAATAATGAGTCTAGATGTCTCAGGCATCTCCCAGTGGTGTCTCTAAAGGGCATCTAAGTAGCAAGACTGAGTAACCTAGGATAGGAGCAAATATCTTTGGGAATACCAAGACACTATATTATCTTTAAGGTAAAATAACATCAGGACATCTTACCATCACTAAAAACTACTGGGCATCCTAATGTTGCAAATTCCCTGCATTTATGAAGGAGAATGAGTAGCAGAACCAAGGGCGGAGTAAAAGAGGAATCAGCCTAGATACTCTGTGTAGCCACAGGTGGACCCAGTGCAATCCCTCTTGAATTCAACTGACTCTTATCTAATGCCAAGAGAGTGTTAACAGTTAGTTGAGCAGATTCTTATGCATGGGCATGATTAGTAATAAATCAGTTTAATTGGAACAGTTACTCTATTGCTCCTGACATTACTCTACTCAACTCACACAAAACTTTTCAAGAGGATTCAAGAGGGGTTTGATTTGGTCCATTTGTGGCTACACAGAGACTCTTGGCAGATTCCTCTTTTGACTCCACCCCCAGGTTCTGCCACTCCTCCTACAATTTGTTTTAGAAAGAATATTTTCACAGAGAGAACTTGATGGTTCAGTTCTCTATATTTAGCCTCACACACAATAATATTTGCCCTCCACATCTTACGCTTTGAATAAAAGTTTAATGTTGTTGACTTTAATACTTTATTTCATGTAGCATCATGGCACTAGTGCTGTAATTACATCCATAATTTAGAGCCAGTTTAGTCTAGTGCAGGGGTAGGCAACCTTGGCTCTTTTATGACTCGTGGACTTCAACTCCCAGAATTCCTGAGCCAGCTATGCTAGTGGTTAAGGCATGAGGCTAGAAACCATGAGACCATGAATTTTAATCCCACTTTAGCCATGAAAGCCAGCTGAATGACTTTGAGCCAGTCATTTTCTCTCAGCCCAACACACCTCACAGGGTTGTTGTTGTTGTGGAGAAAACAGGAGGAGGAGGTAGCATTAGAAATGCTCACTGCCTTGTGTTGTTTATAAAAATAATAAAGGTGGGATATAAATTAATTGAATGACTAAATAAATAAATAAATAAATATAGATATCATTATCTAAGTATAATTCTTTAAATCCAATAGTTAAGCAAATCAATAGGAAAAGGAACAAAAGCGGGCATATTCTGGATAGAAATGAAATAAGAATTTCCAGGCAAGAGTATTGAAAATCCTGTAAAAAGTTTATTCTTGTTCCTTTTTATGGAAGCCAGGACCAAGATGACCAGAGAGTGATTTTGTGTCAATGGGGTCAAATGTCTAATGTAAAAGGAAAAACAAGTAGGCACTTTCTAAAAGCCACAATAAAAAGATTCTAAAATGAGCCCCTTGAAACACATCCAAATGATTCATTTTAGTCACCAAAATGATTTGTCACCACTGGTTAGATCAGAAAAACACATTAGGTTTTGCTATATGTTTCCACACTAACAGTAAGTTTTACATATACCAACCTGATCACACAAGTCATTCTATTACTTGCAGTACTCTACACAATTAACAAGTGTAGTGAAAATACCCTCATGCAGTTTTTAATATAGCAATTCATATGAAGTAATTCATTTTCCATAACTCCAGATTTATTGTTATTCACTGGAACCCAAGTATAGTTAGCCTCCTTTTCCCAAATGTCACAATCTAGACTTCTTTTTTAAAAAAGGCTATTTTGAAAGCACTAGTCAATTCCAAGAAGTTAATCAGCTGCAAATGTGATCACAATGGCCTACCCTCCAATAGCAGATAACTCAGTAGATAACAATACTTTGACCAACTTCTTACAAGGTGACAAGCCAAATCTCTTACATGTTTTCCAAGAAATACACCTAAGACCACAGAACACAAGGACCCACAACTTTAAGAGCAGATACTGAGATTTAGTACTCTGCAGAAGTTTATTTCTTATTAAGAAATAAACGTTTTTAAAAATGAAACTAATCATTCTTCTGTTTTTTTAATATTTAAGAAACATGAAAGGTTTTAAACAATTGAAAATTTAAATCTGTTCCTTCCATTCCCACAAACTTTATATTTATTTCTGTGTGATTATTCATATTCTGCCTCCACTACTGATTTGAGGGGGCTCACAACTTCACATACAGTAAACACTACAATCCTGAAAAGTGGCCAATATATAAAAAGATGCCACTATCATAAAAACGTAAGTCAGCATCAACCAGTAATAAAATCAACGTTAAAAATTAGGTTTCAGTGGAGTGATACATTCCAAATTACTTAACACTTTATGCTTTGTGATAAAGAATTGTTTTAGCTGCCTTTCTGACTCTCAGTAAGAAAGGAATTCTAAGGGAAGCAAGCTATTGCAAAATGAGAGGACTGCAACTGAAAAATCTTAAGAACTACAGTGAGTCTATTATATACACAAAGATGGAAGATATTGTTGTTGTTGTTGTTAATTGCGAAGTCGTGTCCGACCAATCGCGACCCCATGGACAATGTTCCTCCAGGTCTTCCTGTCCTCTACCATCTTCTGGAGTCCATTTAAGTTCACACCTACTGCTTCAGTGACTTCATTCAGCCATCTCATATATACCAATGGAAAATATACCAATGGAAAAAGATGGCAGAGCTTGCAGAAATGACTAGATTGACTTGTTTTACCAAGGAGGGAACAAAGTCAGGAAATTTATCTACTTTTTGCTGAAAATGGACAAAAATGAATTGGTGATGCTGGGATTTACTTAATTAAAAAGAAATGTTTGTGGGAAGAGGTTGGGAGGGTGGAGATGGTAACTGTCATGTTTGTAAGTACTGCAAAGGTGGGTAGCGGCCTCTTTAGATATCTTTCTTTTCCTTTCGTTATCTTCCACTTTTTCTTTTATTCTTTCATGTCTCTTTTTTCTACTTTTTATTTATGTATTTTTTTTAATCTTATGTAAAATCTTCTTCTACCAATATATTTATTTATTTATGAGACTTATATACCGCTTTAAGTGCAAGCACTCTCTAAGCAGTGTACACCAGTAAGCAATGTATATATATATTTACATTGCCCCAACAATCTGGGTCCTCATTTTACCTACCTCGGAAGGATGGAAGGCTGAGTCAACCCTGAGCCGGTGAGATTTGAATCGCTGACCTGCAGAACACAGTCAGCTAAAGTGGCCTGCAGTACTGCACTCTAACTGCTGCGCCACCTCGGCTCTTATATAAAAAGAGAAACCTATTTTGAGATTCCTATTCTACTAAGATCCCAAGATGGAGGCTACTGGCAGCTTGTCCTCTTGGCCAGTCCATATTGGACGAGCAGATTTTATGCAAAGCAGGAACCATACTGTTCTGTCCCAGCTTACACGAGTCCTTGTTAAGCTCACAAGAAGAAACCCCTTTTCCAACAAGCAGGCTGGAACCGCAGGAAAAAAACAATCCCCTTTTATTATTCACAGACCTGAGCCAATGTCCAAGGCAAATAAACACAGTTCACAGAAATTCAATCCTTAACACGAACAGTTGCCTTTGGCAACCAGCACATTCCACACCTTCCCTTTTATTATACAGCCAAGGCATGGCTTCCTAATGCCTTCTCCTTTGCCTTTGGGGTCACCCCATTGCATTCCTCTGTCCTACACTCTCTTCTTGCCGGAGTTTTCATGCATCCTGGATATCTCCCAGCTGTGATTCATCACTGTCCAACTCAGACTCCCAGCACAGCTGTCTCAGCCTGAGCATGAGTAGAAGGGCCAGAGTGTAAGTCTTGGAGCTCCTCAGAGCCTTCCTCTGACTCTGATGTCACTCCAGGGCTCTCCTCCTCCTCTGATTCTTCAGACTCAGCTGCCAGGTCCACTGGCTGGTGAGGAATCACAACACTTATGTACATATGCATTCACGTGCTCATTAGAACCCATTAAGACATAATAACTCTGAACTCATGTTACCCCTCTGCAGATACAGGTAGTCCTCAACGTGCGATCACAATTGAGCCCCAAATTTCCATTGCTAATTAAGACAGTTGTTAATTGAGTTTTCTACATTTTGTGACCTTTTTTGCCACAGTTGTTAAGTGAATCACTTCAGTTGTTAAGTTAGTAACATGGCTGTTAAGTGAATCTGGCTTCCTCCATTGACTTTGCCTGTCTGAAGGTCACAAAAGGTAAATCATTTGACTCCAGAACACTCTACAACTGTCATAAATACATGCCAGTTGCCAAGCATCCAAATTTTAACGATACGACCATTGGGATGCTGCAAGTCGTAAGTGTGAAAAGCGATCATAAGTTACTTTTTTCAGCGCTGTTCTAACTTTGACCGGTCATTAAATGAATGGTTCTAACTCAAGGATTAATTGTGGTGACTGTACAAGTCATTTCCATTAGCTATGCGCTAACCATGGCATTATATCTGCTCAATACCACATAGCCATCCAAACATTTGGAAAAAGAATCTAGTCCTGGATCTCCTACTAAAAGCATGCTTAATTTGAAGCAAATTCAAGCAACTATACCTTCCATAGGACTTCATTCAGATTATAGCGGCTGCTTTTCAAGAACCTTCTTTCTATTCCCCACACCCTCA